CAATGATTTAAATTATTTAATCATATTTGCAGAATTATTCAATTATGTATTTCATAGCTATTTAGAGTTTGCATAATAGGTACAAATACAATACACTAAAATAGACACACGCGKTTCAAAAACYTGCCTAACTTAAAAAAAMCCCTACAGTACCCTCCCTACATCCATTGGYCTATKTTGCCACGGGTTAACTAAATAAAAAAAAAATACACTTTAAAGTATAAAGTGTTTATTGAACATTATTTAATCAAATTTAAATAGTTTCAGTCAAAATCCAACCAATATTACATTATATTTTATGTTATTTGGTATAACATTATATATATGATTTCAYCTCAATTCACAATCAAAACTCATAGATATAGTGAATCGCAATTATTTGAAAATTATTTTCTGTAATGTACAATACATTGTACYTAGTTATTTTTATGTTCATGATGAATATTCCAAACCTACAAACAGTAGTTTACTTTTTATGTGTACTAGCGCGAATTTTATATTGCATAGGAAGTCATTGTTTATACATATTATTTAAAGACAATTAAAAAAGTATGCAATCTAATAAACTGTTGTAATATATTTTATAGTATTCTATACATATTTCAGATTCTTCGTTTAATTATGAACGYAGGATCATTAGGTACATATTACAATATAAAAATGCATAACGTTAATTAATAATACTGTATACAATAACTAAAATTTAATTTATTTGGTATGYAAATATTGAAGATTTATAAATTATCATTAAAACATAGCAAATGCCAACGAGGTTACAATTTTCATCAGTTTTTATAATTACTTATTTCTAGGGAAAAATAATTAAACAATAAATTGTAATCCAAAATACTTCAAAATCAAAATGAAAAATAAAATTATCTAATTTATGTATCGCATGCATGATTTTGTAAACATGTCGAGAAATACTCNTTGATAGCTGATATTTATTTATTTATTAGAATTGATGTCACGCAGCTGCCGGGTGGTGTGAGTAGGCAATATTGAGACGCTAACTGCCAAAACTCAGAAATCGATTTTGAACATTATATAGATTAGCGTTTCTTAACCTGTGGTACGTGGAAAGCTCATAATAATCTCACTTCATGGAAAAAAACTGGAATGGAGCATTATTTGCATTAAATATTTCTTGCTTCATTGATATTAGTAATAACTAAGAATATTTAATTTTTCATTAATTGTGTATTAAATACTTAAACAATTATAATTTTATAGTTCCTGGAGAAATAATATTTCATACGTCATGTAAAATAACGTTACGTTTTTTGATGACGAGCAAAAAAAAAACATAATTGGTTAAGTGGTACACGAACATTTTCAAACTGTGTAGGTGGTACGCATACATAAAAAGGTTGAGAACCACTGATCTAAATGTTATATTTCATAAATGATACGATTGATCTTTTAAGAAATAAAATTGAGACGCATAAAAATCAGTTTCATAAATAGAATATTTTAATTACAAATAATATTAATTTTTCATCTATATAGAAACGCCCATGAGAGCAAATAATTATGTAATAAAGAATACAACTATTTTTAGTATAATAAAACAAAAAACAACAATAAATATTTATGAATTATGATCAATGATTACAATTTAACAAGCTGCTTATTGTTTAGGTATCTGTTTAATAATCATTTAAATAATTAATCAAATAACKATTAATGGAATCAAACGTTGTGGAACACTGTATATACAATATACATAAGCTTATGTTGTATATATTATTATGTAACATAGACTTTTGAATTAAAATATATCTTACTGGAATAGAAATGTACAAGAAACCTTAGAAAGTATATTCGCTATACTTAGGTACTAGGTAGCTAATATAATCTTATTTAAAACTTTTGAAGCCACATTCTGTAGTAGCGACCTATGTATTTTCTACACTAATACGTATAATATAATATGTATACCTWTATTTGCTAATAATATATGATATATTCATAAGTTTTTCTTTAAAAGTCTTCGCCGTTGTAATTTAAAATATTTTTAGTTATAAAATGTTTAAAATCCAATTCGGTTTACTAAATTACATCATTCGCTAAATACCATTATTATTCTTATGATCAACAATGATATAATTAAACTTATAATGATTCGATGTCTTTAATAAAATATGTTTTAACAATTAATAATTTAGCTACCTAGTTTACCGATTTAATTTGATGAATATGCAATATTATCTCTTATTAAATAATTAAATAAACAAAATGTGTTTTTAATAACGATTAATGCTACGGAATGACGTGCTAAACACGTGAACTCACTCTTGCATAATCATTTATTTTCGAGTGATTAAARCTTCGATAAAACAAACCCTAGTTAAACTTTTATAAATTACAATAGGATATTATTATATGGTATTATAATATTATAAATTTTGTCTTGGTGTGGATTTGTATACATTAAGACGTAGCTAGTGAATATTACAAAACGGTGTAAAACCATTTGACAAGTCTTGAAACCTAAGTGCATTTTGACCTAAATAATATTTATTTTTTTTATTTTTTATTAATATCAATCACATATGTCATATTGATTAGGCAGGGAAAACATTTTTATGGACTTTATAATTAATTACTATGTAGATCCCAATAATTTATTACCTAATATATTATCTACGTTATGCGATACTCAATAAAATGTTTGAATAATCTTTCAGTATATTTTGTTTTAATTAATATATATATTTTTTAAATTGTACATG